GTTTTGGATGAAGCGTTCGGTTCCTTATGTTGTGTGGGCTCTTCCTGATGGGGTTTGTTGATTGGTAGGTCTCTGTAGGCTGCAGCATAGTCCTCTATTCCATGGCTCGATTTCGCATCATTGGCTGCTTTCTTTAGGTGTTTCCAGTTGCCAATACAGGATTTCCCATCAGATTCCACCTACCTGGTGACATGTGCCTCTCCATTTGTGGTTGGATCAGCACTGGGTCACCTTCTTGAAGAGGCCTCAAATTCTTTGCTCCCCGATTGCAATATGTGCGTTACCTTGCTTGCCGTTGTTTGATCTTTCCATGAAGACCAGTTATGATCTTAGGTGTTCGGAGGTTTGCTGACACGTGCAATGGGCTCCTTGTTTGTCTGTTTATTGTTGGTGGTACAGGACTGACCTTAATTCCTTCCTGAGGTCTGTCCCAGAAGTCTTACTGGACAAGGGAGGGAGCGTGACCAAGTGGTCAGCACATTGGGTTCGCAATTCGGCGGTCCTTGTTTCAGGTCCCACTCTGGCCACTTGCTGGTTTTTTTCTTTGTTGTCCCGAGTTCAAATTTTTAGCCATGCTTGTAAATAGCCAACCGGTTGCCTCCTTCCAGTTGGGGTTTTTATTCCTATTATGTTCTATTTGAATTATTTGTTTCTAAGTATTTGAGTGGAGTGCCTGTAAACTAGCTAAGCGCACTTTCCGCTATAAACAAGCCTTTTAAGTTACGGGTCACACTTGGTCATTCCAGCTACAGCTAGGACTCTTCAGCAAGCTGTACGGTTATTGTACTTGATTGTTAAAGACACAAGATTCATATGTCTCATTTGTCTCTCTGATGCAAATTTCTTCAAACTTGGCAATGACAGTTTCAAAATTTTGTCGGTCTTTAAGGAAGTCGAAATTCATTCCATCATTAAACTCTCGCATGTCATCACCAATCGCTGAGAGGAATTCCACCATTTGAAAATCATTCTCGAAGCGGTGTTTTGCTACAATGGCATAGTTTTCCCAGGATCACTTATGTTTCTTGCCATTTGTTGCCAGACTGCCAGCGATGCTCAAGGGTTTAGGCATAGAGATGCCTACGGGTAGTTGGCATTCACTATTTGTCGCTGATCCTTTTTCAACCAAGGGGTTAGTCATGCTGATTTTTGGTTTCCTTGGATGTAGGATTGCTAGTTGGACATCTTATGATAGCAGACGTGAGGGAGTGAAGTGATTTCAATTCAAGCACATATTCAATATCTGATAATTCTAACTTAAATTACATAACTGATAATCTAGAAGTGACATGCATGAGGTGTCTGTCAACCGCGATTACATAATCGACACAGGCCAAGTACAACCGTGGTCAAGTTTTAGACGGTGTATGGTTGTTGTGGTGGAAAGAGGAAGGGGCTTTGCTCTCTTTGCTTCGAGTTGTTTTCTCCTCTCAACAGGGTCTGAATCGACCGGTCGTTAATGCCATCCAGTGATGTCACTCACTGCCCGAGAACTGCATAGTAATTTTGATTGGTTGATTGTCTAAACATTTGCATAATTATGTATAATTATGAAAACCTTTAGCAGGATTGTCGCTTGATATTTAGTGGATCACATCCCTGGCATTCTTTCATGTAGTTCAAACATTTCGATAAGCGTAATCTTTATCTTAAACAGCAAAATTGCCCTTGTCTTCGAAACTGAAATGCTAAATTGAGCTGCGAATGAAGAATCATTGGGGAGAGTCAGTAGGTTTTTCATTTGGAGCTGCTTTGTGGTTCCGGCGGCCGGTTTAATTTGACCTTCTTGCTATTTTTACCGTCAAGTGTAATGATCCTGTTAGCTTTTCTTTCTTGTTTTCTTGCTTTGAAGCAAATCATTGTGTTTTTGAACTAAGTGTTCCGTGTGTGTGTTTATTTCATTGTGTGATTGCGACCGAGTTTGATTCAGATTATAGAATTCAGTACAACCGGTTTAGAGTTGTACTGCATGCGGTTGATAGTTTAAACGTTAAACATAAACTACGATCGGAAAAAAAATAAAGCAATTCTGTATGACATGCAGACATTTCCAAACGATATTTCTCAGTTTGCCACTTGAAAATAGTGTTTTACTTTTTGCATGAATTAAAGCAAAGGTCAAGGAGTAGTGATGTCACTAGACGGCATTAATGGCTGGTCGATTCAGATATTACTCAGGGAGTAATAACGACTCGAAGTAATTGGATGAAATTCAGGCTACTTTTAACATTGTTTTAACAGGTTTGAGAAGCGGAAAATCACTTTCGTGCTGTTTTGTAGACAATTAGAGTATAAAAGAACACTAAAGCACCAATATAAAACTGAAATAGATGATTGTCAATTCACAATACATATAGGCATTTACTTTAATCGTGAATGGCCAAATATTGAGCTTCATATGGGACATAAAGAGAAATAGTAAATAATTTTGTGTTAGACACAGTTTATTAGTGAAATAAATATGTGTATCACATATGCCTTAACCTTTACACTTAGAACCAGCAGTTGTATGTATTAAACTTCCCATTCTCAAAATAATTATTTGAAGTTGTCATCACAACTAATATGAAGCATAATATTAATATCTACCCTGTAATTTGGAGATGATCATCTTGGTTTGAACTGGAAAACTATTTTCATTCCTCTGGTTTTAGAAATACATACTTCTGTTTACTATATAAGATATTGTTTCAACCTCTTCATGTTGTTTACATTTACATTTACCATATGCAGCCTGTCCCTAACATTTGAGGATAATTGGCTGTGTTGGTCAGCAAAAAATATATATAAATAAAAAATAAATTTAAAAACACAAATGTCAGCTTATTAGGCTAGTAAACAGGTAGATGATTTGGGCAGCTTACATGGGCTTTGAAAGTATCTAAAGAGCAGTGTTCACTAAAAACAGAAGCAGGCAAATTGTTCCACTGAATAATTCTTCTTGAAAAAAGGATATATACTCAGAGGACAGGCTAGTTTGAAGTGGGATAAAACTTTCCAAATGTGAGTGACGTGTCCTGCGCATGAGAGGGCGCAGTGGCCTGTGAGAGTTAAGAGAGAGCAGCCCCGGGTGATCTCAAAGAAGGCCATGAGCTGACTGTTAATCCGATGTTGCTCTCTCAATTTTTCGTAGGTACGGAGCTCCATGCTCTTGCATGCGGAGGCTCCGCTATAAATTCCCTACAACTTTCTGAAGTAGAGATAATTTCTCATATTTTACTCCCCACAGGTAGGCTATTCATTTTTTCATAAAAAAAAAACAAAACCTAAAATTCTCGGGTTGAAAAAGGAGGTGGAGAGAGGAAACAGAAAAGTCCTTTCTTACCTCCATCTTAAATTGTAATTAAAGTTTTTGGGAAAATAGTACTAAGCCCCTGTAATTAGTTCAAAAAGACTCTAGTTCCCCTAGGATGATCAAAAGGTACAATTTTTAGCACCTCTTGCATCAGTTTCTAAAAATATCAAGATCGATACCCTATTTAATACGGCGGCTGAAATAATGCATGCTTAGTATGCTTGTCATAACATCCAAATTCTAGGTGACAAAACCTTACCTTCATCTAACCTCATGAAAACCTTCATTCGAATCTTGTACAAATGTTTTAACTTGTCACCGGTCAGTTCACTCCAGGAGCATGCTAAGGTCAGCGCCAATGAACCACCGCTAACTGTACGATAAAAATTTAGCCTAAAGGAGCAAATTAAGAAGCCATCAGTGTATTGTCTGCTGCATTGACAGATTTTTCACTGGGCATTTTAGTACTATAATGTCAATGTTACCTTGAGGCTTCGCTTGGGTCGAGATGATCTCTAAAGGAGTGTTTTACTAACTCCTGTATGGCCATCGTCTAAACATTATTATAAAAGTCTAATAATAATTCTTTACATCGTCCTCTCTTCTCCATTGTTCACTGAACAGTTTGGGCGGCGCTTTTTAATGGATCACTAGAGTTAAGAAAAACAAATTTGCATTTCATAAATTTTGTATGCCACGATCCTTATGCTTGCGTGGTCATTGACATCATCTTCCGTTGAAGAAAAATGGACCAACTGGGGAAAATTATATATGCGAGAATGGGTTTTAAATATCTTGTCAAACAAAAGGATTTTTGCACGCTTTAAGGTTGCCAAGTTGATGTTGAAAAAGAACCAATAAACAAAATTAATAAAAATGCATTTAAGTTGGTGATTACATTGTTTGGCAGTTGGATACTTAATAAACCACTCCTTGTGAATTTCATGCTACTTGACGCCAACCAGTTTACTCGCGGCTGCTTTTTTCATTTTCTTATGTATTGTTCCTAGGTGTTGTTGTATAGTAGGAGTGGTTTTGTCTCTTAATACGACTCATTACCGAAATATTTTCTACATATTCGGCTGAGCATAGCGATAAAGAATCGAAGAATATATGAGAAATATATCTTGCAAAGAAAGACTAATATCTGTAAACCTACTTCCTGTGTGCTACTGGCACGAGTTACCAGATCTAGTATACTTTTACAAGGCTACACATCGTATTATTCACTTAGATCCATCTGTCTTCCCTCGAAGGACCCGTATATCCGTAATTAGCTCTCAATCTTTTGTGCCTAAAAAATGCAGGAACTCTACCTTTCAGAAATCTTTTTTCATTAGAACCACTAGAATCTGGAACCTGCTTATTACCAGACTTGACCTAGATAATTTTACTTTTGAGAACTTTAAATCTGTTCTTTACGGTTACTACTCATGGGCTCTAGCAATAAACTATGACCCGGACTCTCCAAGGAGCTTCAAAAGTACTTGCTTGAAATGTAACACAGCCAGGTTTTTAGACCAAGAAATTAGCTGCTGCATGTGATTTAAATTGCTACTTTTATATCTTTTTATTTTTTGGGTCCACAGTAATTGGCCTTCGCTGTTGCGGTGTCCCTGCCCAAATATTTAAGTTATTATTAGTGTATTGTTACGTTCTTATTACTAGTGTTTGCATATCTTCAGTGTTTTTTTTTCTGTATTCTTCAGGTGTTGAAGGTAGAACACACCTCTCTTGCTTCTTCGCCAATCAGTGTTAAAAGTGTGGCAACCTGAACAGGCTCACTCTTCTTATTTAACTCTGTTGCAAGTGCGTAATTCTCCCACACCAAGAGGAACTTTTTCCAGTTCTCTGCAACGTTGGGGTCGTGTATTTCAAGGGGTGCTGGCGGCGGTAACGAAAATCCAGATACCATGCTCAGTCTTGTTGACTTGTTAGGCGATTGGCTATGTGTAATATTTTAATTACCACTATAGCTCCACTCGCTGCCACCATGTAAAGACACGCAATTAAATATATATGTATTTTTGGTTTTGCCTTTTCTGTCTTTGATTTCTATGGGAACAGCATTTCCTTTTTCACCTGCATTCTGTTTCCCTTTCTCAGCCTCTTGTCCTTTTTTCTTTGGTTTTGGTTTCGCATTCTGGACTGGCTGTTTTGTGATTTCTTGTTCCTCTGAGTCCTCTTTCCTTTAAAGTTGCAAAGCCTTCTTTGTGGGCTTTCTCTGTCTTGGCTGGTCAAGAAGAGTCCTCTCTTTTGCCTGCTTTGTGCAACACATGATCTTCCTTCATTGGAACATATTCTTTTTGAAACTTTTTTAACAACTCTGCCATGTCACCAGACTTATTTGTGTTTAAAAAATCCAACCCTAGGAGGCACTAAAAATTCGAGAAATTAAGACTGTTAAATCCAGACCTTATAAGGCTGTAGTGCAAATGTTTTGTCATAAAAAGTGCTTGTTTGGGTTACATGGACTACTTAAGCAGTCAATATCCCTTTGTGTTGTCTAAGTTGAAAAGTATGCTCAGATGATATAATAATATTTAATGGCATTGCAATGCTTTATGGGAAGGAAGTTTAATCCCTTCTCTGGCACACCCGGGAGCGAATGAAACTGGCTATAAAAAATCTCATTTTCACTTATCGTCAGATGCCTGCCACAAAATAAGAATCCAGAGAGGCGCGGGTTGAGTTAACGAGTGTTAGAAAAGGATAAATGAAAATTAAAAATTCCTTTGATTACACATACCCGATGGCCTTCAAGACATAATTAACAAAAAAATTAGCAAACATGCATGAACACAATAACAAAGGCATGGAAATGTGGTTAAGCAAGACAAAGTAGCTTTGCAAAAGCAATACATTTCTTTAATGCATAAGGCGAATTGAATCAACCATTTTACAGTTGTGAGCTTAGTACCCTAGCCTCTGAATGAATGTGAGGCTGAGGTTGTCCTTGTTGATACAAACCTCTTCATGCTAAAAAAAAGTGAGCATAGGAACATAATAAATAAGGAACTGTTGTATCAAAACAAGGTCAACTCGTTTGCACCCCGTAACTGTAAAAATGGACTACCACAGGGAAATGTGGTTAAGCAAGACAAAGTAGCTTTGCAAAAGCGATACATTTCTTTAATGCATAAGGCAAATTGAATCATTTTACAGTTGTGAGCTTAGTACCCTAGCCTCCGAGTGAATGTGAGGCTGAGGTTGTCCTTGTTGATACAAACCTCTTCATGCTAAAAAAAAGTGAGCATAGGAACATAATAAATAAGGAACTGTTGTATCAAAACAAGTTCAACTCGTTTGCACCCCGTAACTGTAAAAATGGACTACCACTTTGTCACTCAAGTAAAAAGAGTTACTTACCTGTTTTGACTTCTGCTTCATTTCATTTGAATACGTATGTGGGATGTAATGTATTACTGCTGATTAAAACACTCTATACACTTCAAAGTATTAACACATTACTCGAAAGACAAGTGTTACCATGCATGATTGCATGGCAACCTGCTCCTCGTGGCTTGGAAGTATCTGGATCATCTGCAAGTCTTTGACTTGCATCTTTGCCTGACAATCAACAACACTTGTATCAGGCTTAACACGATTCTTGACTGCGAAACTATGGGTCCAGTGTAGGGACTTGTTTTGATGGCTTGATGATTAATGCCTGGCTTGCACAGCTAGTCAATATTTTCTGTGACTAATCTGTCAATGAAGGATTTGGACCATTATGTGACATTATGGTCGGCGATGTAATGTGCTGGAAGGGGCTGAAGCCTTTTTTTGAATCCTGATGGCAGAGGGGTGAGACATGCAAATGCCAAGATCTGAGCAACGTTCTAGCGTCAGAGCCTTGGCTCCACCATTGAGAAGAAGAAGACTCATCCTGTTGTGAGTGGCACTTAGCTGTTGGTTGTACTGATGCAAACAAATGGATGTCGCCATGCACACTGCATTCCTGAATCGATTTGTAGTTTCTGCATAATTGCTGAGAAGTGGCATATTTCCTTTTAAGTTGCCTGTCTGGCAAATGGAAGCAATTAAGACTGCTAGCTTTGGACACTTCACCAAGTGGTGAAGTGGACCAGCGAGCTGGACATCAATGCCTTAGAAGCCAAGGGGCACTGGGCCACACTAGAAGAACTGTTGGAAGTGGTGGGGCGCTACTTGCCGCGCTACGAGAACGCACTGAAATCATGCAAGGAGAAACCAGGTGCTGTTTTGCCAATAGATTTATCTTTTGCTACCAAATTTTTGGCCGTCTATTCATTTATCAAGGTCAAGGGCTCGCGCCCCATGACATATCAGTACTTAACGGTGGAAATGGTGAACAAAGCCAAGACTAACGGTAGATTTATAGACCAGAAAATGTTCAAAACGGCTGGAAAATTTGGCTTCGATTCTCCTTACCTGACTGAGACGAGCATGCAAGTGTTGGATGGCTACATCAACCACATTCGCCCCCTACTAAGACCGACCTGTGACTTTGTATTGGTGACAAGAAATGGAGGGCAGTACAATAAGCTGGGAGAGCTAATGACCAAACTGCTCTTTGATGCAACGGGCAAATACGTTCACCTGACTCGCTATTAACAGATTGTGGAGACCGCGAGTTGCAGGCAGCTGAGCAGCAGCACGCAGAGCACAATCTCCAAGGACCAGAAACATAGCTCTGTTGTTGCAAGGGTTCACCATCAGAAGCAGCGATTGCGCGAGGTGGCGAGCAAAGTACATGAATATTTAGAACGATTGCACAGGAAAAAGGGATCAGAGGTAGAAATAGACGTGCCCTTGAGGTTTTCAGGCAATTCTGCATCATCTGAAGATCAAAATGGTAGCAAAACCGATACTTCCTCTAATGACGAGGGAGAAAAGATCACCGAAACACCACCCAAGCATCTTTCAGGTGTCCCGAGACTAAAGCGGGAAAATGCGTTGATAGTGACAGATTTCCCGGCGAGAAAAAAGAGTTTGATGTTCACCCCTGAAGAAGACAACTATCTAAAAGAAGGCATTGAGCGACACGGCTACGGTCAATGGAAAGTGATTCTCAGGGATTGCGAATTTCATTTTCAAGAGGGAAGGACAGCCAACTCACTGCTGAGCCGTGCAGCGCGAAGATTCGGATCACTTTCTAAGTTATCGTAGAACTTTACATTTACCCCAAAATAAAAGGCAATCAGTGATATGGTTCAGTACATGACAAGCAGCATTTTATTGTTGTTGCAAGAAGAAATAAATTACTGTTGACTTGAGAAATACATGTTTATTTTGTTGCTTTGGCAACATTTTTTCGTAACTCGCTGGCTTAAGGAGGAACGCTTGCGCTTACTGGCTTCAGTGGTCATGGTTCGGACTGACATTGCTCTGCTAGGGACAGGAGTCATGAAAAATGTCGCTTCGTCATTGTCGCTGTCATCATCAGATCCAGTAACGTAGCTGAACGTGCACGGCGACTGCGTGCCATATTGTTCCAGGTTGTCTTTGGGCACGTAATTCGGCGTTCTGGGTTTTTCTTGCTCTAATACCTCTTCCATTTCTTCTCTCTGGCTCGAGCTCAGGACTCGCAGTGCTTCGCAGAGGGTTTTCACCATGTGTTGGTCTTCTTTTCTCAACAGTCCGAGCTCCACGCATACCTTTTTCCTCTCTGCAAGGGCTTCCTGGCATCCAAGAGTTCCTAAGTTGTTGTGGTGGTCCTTGAGCTTTTCTTCTAGGGTTTCACGCAGGGCATCCATTGAGTCTCTCATGTCAGGTGTAATACTTGATTCCAGGGTAACCATGCATTCGTTTAACTCCCTCTCTGTGTTCCTCAACCATGGTGACTGGAATGCTTCCCTCGCCCTCTTCTTCTTCCCTTTTCGATCCGCCCCGGCTTTCATCTGTTCGTGAATGGCCAGATCATTTATTGGTGTGGGAAGGGGCTCGTTTGGATCGTGGGGTAGCAAACGTACATTTTCTTCGGACACGCCCTTCGATCTGAGACACTGTTGATGTCTCTCGTGCCGTTGTATCTCCCGCCGCATCCTCTCTTCGTTTTGCTGTAAACGCTTTTCCAGTAAGAGGCTGAGGTGACGGTTATCCAAAGACCCCGGTAAAGTTTGTGCGAGCGAGTTCTTTAACGTGTGTGTGGTTTCATCGTCATCATCGGCATCCACGATTTGGTCCCCGTTATCGTCTCCTGCAGTGTCCTCTTCATCTCGGGGACTTGCGCGTAAATCAGCTAAGACGTCGGTCAACTGCACATTTCTTAAAACCTCTTTCTCAGTCTCCAGCAGTGCACATTCGTCGTTTGGTGTGTTTCTCTCCGCGTCTTCGTCGTCGTCATCAGAACTTTCTTCTTCATCTGTATCTACCCGCGCTTTCGATGTAGCCCACACAACACATTCCATAGGATGCTTGCGCAGCCACTGGGCGGCCTTCTTTGTCGGACTTGACAGGCTTTTAAAGAAGTAATACCTTAGGTTCGGTCCATAGCCTGCTGATCTTCCTCCTTGAATTGAAGTTTTTGGTGTGCAGTCATGAACATGGGACATCGATTGAAAAATGACTTGGCCGTTTTGTACTTGACATCGCAGGCTGTGTATCCCCCTTGAGTGAGTATCTTCCAGTCCTCCACATCGAGAGTCGACGGAGTGGCCTCGTCAATGAATATCACCTCGGTGTTCTTGCCAATCATTTCCTTGTTGAACATTTTTTGCTTCGTTACAGTTGCTACGTTGCTGTGGTGAATCAGCCCCAGTATTGGGTAAAAAAGGCTTGTCTTTCTGCTATCGGGCTCACCGACAAGGCATGGCACTCTCTCTTTGTGCTTCTTTTGGTTGAAATTCAGAAGTCTCAAGAAATCTTCGCAAAACAAATCAATCTCGTTTTCTGTCAGGCTGTTTTCCAAAACGTCTTGGAAGTATTTAGGCTGTGGGACTTTGAAAGGATCATAACGCGAGAAAGCCCTGGGAGTCACAAGGCCCATTTTCTCTGCTGGAATTGCGTTGTTCAAGAACCGTCTTTCTGAGACAGACCAACATTTCCCTTCGTTCACCTCTATGAGGTTGTAGTCGACAACAATGGGACGAATTACTTCACAATCAGGGTCAGCCAGGATATCGATAACTTTTTTCATGTCCCTCAGCAGTCTTGCCTTAAATGACTCATTTGCAGGTAGACTGTTCACAAGCGCCTTCACATCGCACTTGTAGGAGTAGGTGTAAGTGGCACCTTCACACTTTTTATAAACAGTGCCCCTGTAAAGGACGTATTCCAGCCTCCTCATTGCAATCGAGATATCATTTATGAGGACTGTAAGCTTGTCACCTAGTCGCCATTCCATGCTGTTAGTTGTTCTTTCTTCTTGTGATTCTTGGCTGTTACCATCCAAGCCATAACAATCAGTCACTAACTTCGCTCCCATCATTTTATCTATTGCTTCAGAAACAATAGACTTAAACGAGGCTTGGATGACGCGAACGTTGACTACGTTTTCCGTTCCACATTCCTCCACATCCATTGATTCAGAATCGGTCAAAAACCCTTCCGCCACAGTCAGAAAACACTGCTAGTAGGAAGCTGTTACTAAGTCCTGCATAAACTTGTTGTTGTGATCCTTTAATACTTTGAATAGCTCCTTCATCGCAAGAGATTCTTTGCCTTGTCGACAGGGAACCTTATTTTGAAGAAAAGAAATAGAAAGTTTGCTTGAGTGAAGTAAAATAAAAACAAATACAAAGTTAAGGCTATACAACGCTTTATTTTGCTATAACAAAATACTTTGACATGATGAGGAGCCAAGCATGAGAAATTAATTTCATTCAGAATCTTGTGAAAAATTTACCTTGATATAAACTGGAAAGACTAACCGTAAAAAGACAGTGTGTTAACTATTCTGCAGAATGTTAGTAATAGTTTAGACTAGTGCGGGGCTAGACATATTTTGCATCCAGCAGGGATACAATTATACTTAAATAAAATCCTACAAATGAACAATCCTAGAAGTAAAACTCCTATAATCACCAACTTGTGAGGAAAACAGAAACCCTTAAAAACGCTTATCAAATGTTGTTTTATCTTAAATGTTTGTACAACAAAACTCTAGGTGTATTCAGTGCAATCCAATAATTTATGGCGGAAAGAAGCTTTTTGTTCACCAAAGCTGGGGGGCTAGAAATCCAGCTTTGGCTCGAAGAACTTGACAGTTGAGTTGTGAAATGCTCGCTATCGCTTTCCTCTCCGTTATCCTCTAGGTTATTTTTATTTTTCTTCGGCGCTTTCTTTGGCCCTTGTGTGCCGATAGCACTAAAGAAAAAGGCCACACTTTGTACTCCTGCAAAAAATGATATCGAAATCAAGTTTCATTATTCAACCGATAGATTTGTAATAAGGATTCATAATTAACATTTCAATTCATTTTGAATACAAACCTTGCAACGCCTTGTCGCAAGCGTCTTGCGTCCTACACACCTCGCTCCATGCTTTCTGTAGGCCTTCATCCATATTGCATGTACACTTACAAGTCACTACACTACATTTGTCCACAACTATTGGACTTAAATAACACAAAGCAGCTCCTTTGATTTTCTCTCTATTCAGTTGGCGACAAGGAAAATTTGCTCTTCGCTCGCTCATGGTGAAGCGAAGACTGATATATCATCATCAACGTAATACGCTTTTATAGGAGTAAGCATGTCACTTCACTGTGAATAATATTAATTATACAGTGAAATTTTCCCAGTAGACAACATCTGATACTCTTATCCATCGCCCAACCTTAGTCACACAGAGTTATTACGTAATCCAAAAATGTGATACTTGACAACTATTGCTGAAGACTATTTGACCTAAATTAGCGACATGATCCTGTTTCCGTGAAATCCGCAAAATCCTATGACAGAAAAACCTTCTTTATGATGAATTCCAGCTACTGAAATCCACATGAACTGCCAGTTTTACCGTATTCAAAGATTGTGTCGAGGAAGGAAACAACGGTTTCTGCGGAATTAACGGAGAACTGAATACTAAATGAGGCCTTGCTAAAGACTTTCCTGAGAAGACGTGGATTTTAAGGATTTTACGGAAAAAAGAAATGAAAAAAAACCAATAATAATAATAATAATAATTATCATTATTATTACTCCTATTTTATTATTTTAATATAATAATAATAATAATTATTATTATTATTATTACTATTTTTATTATGATTGTTATTATATATCTTGTCGGTCTTTTCCGTGAAATCCGTTGTATCCAGCCCCAAAGTAGAGTTTCTTCTTTGATACCTTCATTAAAATTCTTATTTCCGTTAAGTCCAAGAAATCCGTATTGTCCACTCTTATGGAATACAACTCTGGTGTCCGTGAATGTCAATTATATCTTTATTCCGGTGGAAGGATTTTCCGGATTTGGCGGATTCAGTTGATTTTTATCTCTATTTTACCCAGTGTGTTTTAGCAACAGGAGAGTGATGTATGTGTTTCTTTTGATTTAGCCCTCAAATTCTCAATGAACGATACAAGCAGTATCATGAAGTAAGATCGCCCTGGGTAAACCCTTGTTTGCTGATATAAATTTAAGGCTAACATCTCTTCATACAGTATAGGAAAAAGCGTTCCTTTCAGTGGCTATTCCTCTCACAAGGAACGCTTTTGCGGAAAAACACCCAGATTTATTTGCAGTTTTTAGCAAAAGATCCGAGAATGTGCTTTTTAGCTTTTTCCTGCACAAAACTACTGAGAGATATAGTTTTAGAAAGATCTTCGCAGTACTTGGTATTATTTTAAGGCTTCAAAAAAAGGGAACTGAATTTTTGGGAAACGATCATCAGTATCACCATCTCTACCCTCATTGATACTGATAGTATCATCGACATCAAAAGTATTATCATCATTAGCATAATCTGTATCCTGTTAATGGATGTTGGCAGTTGACTTTAAGATGACGTTAGTACTTTTTAATGGCTTTCTGTACTTCTTGAACTAGCAAAAAAATATGCAAAAACACCATGTCTGAGACAATAATGTAACTGCCAGGTTCTTGTGGAAAGCGAAGTAAAATAAAAGAGAAACCACAAGCAGGGATTGTCTTGCTCAGTTTGTTTTGTATTCGTCCAACTCTCATGGTCATACACACATGTCCTCTCAATTTTCTGATGCAATCGTATCACATGACAATGTTAACAAATTTTAAACTGTGGGGGGTGGGCTCAATACCGTTCCCTACATACACCCCCTCTAAAATAGATATCCTCCTGGACATCGAAACAAAGACTTTATATCCTTTAAAAACTGATACTTAACAACCAACTAAAGTTTGACTGTTTCCAAACAAATATTCTCATAGGGTGATCAGGCCTACAGAGAAAGTTTCATCTCACGTCCTTCTTTGATAAAGCCAATGTTCACGTGATAAAACACTGATTTTTTTTCAATTGTATCTCAATTGTTGACTGAACAAGTTTCTTTTTTTTCAACAACTATGAAAATCTCCTTAAGTCTCAATGTTTCAAGTCTGACAACGTCCTGCGAAATCCTCAGCAAACTGGAAACTGCATACACTGGAACGTATTCAGAGGGTACCAAGGCACAGTGTGTGGATGGACCGGAACATAAAAGGATGGCCCCCCATAATTCTGCAGGCTTGGTGATCCATAATAATATGGCGTTGCAACCAACCATGGCGGACAATGTGGACTGTACATCATTTGACCAGGAACAATATTGGCTGCTGGTACTTGAACACTTGAGGCACTGCAAGGGTGATAGCTAGGATTTCCCAGCTGATCATAACATCTGGTGGGCGTCGGGCACGCATAGGGTGGCAATGGTTTTGTTCCGTCTCCTGCTCAGTAACGAGGTCGTCTTCAGCTTCAGAGTCGGGTAGCACAGGTTCGTCTGTGACTTCATGATGAGGTGTCTCTACATCTTCCGTCATAACTTTATTTGTATCCTGCTCTGGCTGGTCTGCCACGAGACGTTCGGGGTCTCCTGTACATGCAGACATCTGCAGTGTCTCGAACTCTGGAGGCAACAAACCAGAGGGTTCATTCCTGTCTCCTGATTCACTCGCGCCGAATTCATAAGTCTGAGGCCTGCCAGCAACTGTCTTGGAAGGACAGGTACTCATTGTTTCTCGAATGGAATGGAGGGGAGGTTCTATGGGGTCAACTGGAAGAAAAGTACACGGCAGTAATAGATTCCTATGCAACACTCTAGGCTTTCCAGTCTGTCCTTCAGGCCTGACCTCGTATACAGGAAGGTTCCCTCTCTGCCCAACCACAACATGAAGCTGTTGTTGCCAATAAGATCTGAGTTTGCCTAGGCCACCTCGCTCCGACAAGTTGCACACTGGTACTCGATCTCCAGGTTGGAAGCTTGAAAACCCCACCTTTTTGTCATACTGCTTCTCGCCAGCCACTCTAGATTGAAGATTATTCTTTGCGGCGAGTGAATGGGCTTCCTTCATAGCGATCTGCCACTTCTGCATACCCCCGATGAGTTACACAAGCTTCATCCCGTGAGAGATCAAACATCAAGTCAACTTGAACACGAGGTGACCGCCCGAAAAGCAAATAGAATGGCGAGAACCCAGTGACATCATTTCTCGTACAATTGTAAGCATGCACAACTTTGGTCAATGAGTCCTTCCATCTCGATTTCTGATTCTCTGACAGAGTCCTGAGCATAGACAAAAAAGTCCTATTGAATCTTTCCACTTTTCCATTCCCTTGAGGATGGTATGGTGTAGTACGAAGACGAGTAACTCCACTTAGTTGATGTAATCTCTGGAACAGTTTGTTCTCAAACTCTCGACCTTGATCATGGAGAATTTTTACAGGGAAACCAAATCGTAGAACAAAGTCACTATATAGGCGATCAGCAGCCGTAGTGCTTGACTTGTTTTTAGTTGGGTAGGCTTGTGCGAATCTGGTAAAATGGTCAACAATGACCTGGATGTACTCATATCCACCAGACCTCTGCTCTAGATGCAAGAAGTCGATTGACACTAGTTCAAAAGGCGATGAAGTGGTAACACTGGTAAGTGGTGCACGGGTACTCAAGTTAGGTTGACGTTGCTTCAGACATGGACAAGCCTGAGTTACAAAGTGGATAATATCACTCTCCATCTTTGGCCAATAAAAGCGCTCACGAGCCAATTGAATCACACGGTCAGCACCTAAATGTCCCATTTCGTGGTGTAGTTCTTTAAAGACAATACTATGAAAGCACTTGGGCAACAACAACTGTGCATTTGTTCCGCTATTCCTGTACAACAGTCCATCTTTTCCCAGATAAAGCTTAGAGCGCTGTCGCAGTAATAATCTTGTTGCTGGCGATTCTCTTCTCCTCTCCCATGGTGAAGGCCACCTTCCACTTTCCTTGAACTTCAGAAGCTTTCCAATGGCGGGATCTTGTGTTTGGG